TGAAAGAGAGTCTCGTAGTATACAACTACTTTGATATAAATTTCTCGTAATCATCGAGAAGATTTGTGACATAATTTCTGAAATCCAATATAAAGTTGATCTTGCTCGATGAATTTGAGTGTTATCATCTTGAAATACATAATTATTTTGATATCCAATCCTCCTAAATAAGATAATAAATGGTTATTTAAAATATTGATATAGTTATTTGCAGTTTTTCTATTATTAATTTGAACTAGAAGGCCCAATTCAAATAAACTAAAACATCCACAGATCATGACTCTCTTGCGATCTGATTTAAAGGTTAGAACTAAACAGTTAATATTATATTTCTCTTCAGATTTTCTCTAAATATAATCATAACTATCTTCCCCAAATACTTCAAACCATGATTTATCACTCCATATAATGGATTTTCACTCCTTCTTCTAATTAATTCTTTCTCAAAATCATTCCAAACATAATTTACAATTTCTTTTGTTAATGAAGGATTTTCTCTTGCTAAATCAATCATAAAATTCTTCTTTATGCAGATAACATTGTATAGTATATGAAAAAATATTGGTAGAAGTTGACTTGATAAATTTATTAGTTAAATTATTTAAGGAAGCTTTTTGATCTATCTTTAATAAATAAACAAGATGATGTGTGTCTTGTTTAGTTAGTTTAGACTTTGGTCCAGGGTGTGGAGATGATTTTATTTTACTAGTTTTTTTATAAGTATTAATAATTCTGTAGACAGTAGTTTTTTTGAATTTTAGGATATTTATAATGGTAGGAATTGGCATTCCACACTTCCAAGTACTGATGATCTCATTGCATTCTTTTTTTAAAAGTTCTCTTTATTTTTTATTTATCACGAATAAGAAAAGAATGAAGTAGTATCTTGATTACACAATAAAAAGAAGTCTTCTAAAAAAAGGGAAAAAAATTTGTATCACTTTATTTATGCTAATCTGCATGCAAATTGCTTAGAAAGAATACTAATAGTTATAGCTAATCATACTTAATTCAAAAAGTTCTATGACCCATGTCAGGGGAGTGTACTATCCCTCAGTCTTTTTGTAATATCTGATAAACTAGAGATTATTCTTGAGAAGAAAATGAATATGCTAAAAACTCTTCTTTCATAATATGCTTTCTTTGATTATGATTCTGATATTAGTCTCATAGTCTTTTTAATAAATAATTCAAGTACAAAATGGAATATATTGGAGATTTATTAGCTAAAATCAATATGACTTCTATATATATTTCATATTCTTCAAGTATTTTGATATTAGTTATATCATGTCAAACATCATATTAATAAAGATTATCATGTATTTATTATGAAAATAATAAAGAAAATTCTATATGTAAAAACAGAAATTAAAATACTAAAGTATTATCATAATTTGAAAGCTAATTACTATTTTATATATCTATTATTATAAAGGTATTTTAAGCTACTTTGGAATTAATGACAATTTTAGATAATATCATTTCATTCTGGTTTTCTTTTACATGATAATAATATAAATAATTATATAAAGCATAATTTTAGATTACTTAAAGATATTATATTTTTATGTACTTAAGTATATAATATCATTCAAGTATTTTATTTTATAATCATGAATATGAATCACTTTTATAAATACTATTTATTAAAAATTGCAAATAAGTATCTCAATCATCTTCAAATTACTAAGCAATTTTTGTATTCAGATTAGAAGATAATTAATATATCAGAAATCTAACAAATAAAAGTATATGCTAAATATCTGATTTCAAATTAACAGAAGGATTCTGAATTATTTTATATTATTAATATGGAGATTGATACATGCACTTGTCCCATTGGATTATTTGAAGCATCATGTAAGTATCAAGATACTGTGATCATGAAATTTCATATTAGATTATTGAATTTTATTTCATCTTTAACTTCTGATGATCACTTTAATTATATGTATATTACGTGTAATAAGTTCTAGTTACTTTTTTTCTTTTATTTATCTAAATTTAATACTTTTTTTAGGAATTATTTCTGAGAATCATTCCTTTTATGCATCATTACATTCTTAATATGATAAGTTTAGTTTTTTTGTTTTTATCTAACTTAATAATATTTTAGTGATTATTTTCAAGAATTATTCTTTTTATATACTATTACATACATGTACTTTATTAATCATAATTTAAATCTAATCATCTCTTATAAAATTTAAAATAAAATCCAAAACTCTCATGAAATCCAAAATAAAATTCAAAACTCTCACAAAGTTCAAAACTCTCACAAAGTTCAAAATTCTTATAATATCCAAAACTCTTATGATGTCATTCAAAAGTTATAATCTAATAAGACAGTTTTGAAGAATGAGTATATTTACTTTAAGTTCATTTTTTATTTATTATTTTAATTAACTATTTTTAATTAGATTCAATGCAGTACATGAAAATGATTTTGTATCTTTTGAATCATTTATCAAGATAATTAAAAATAACCACAAGAATAATAATTCAAATCCTTCTATTATTCTTAATAAGTTCACTAATTGATATAATGCAGCAAAAGTCATATCCAATTTGTGATTAATATCTTTTCTCTATAATATCAATCATGATATTAATTCTTATGCTCATGTTAAAAGTGATACAAAAATTCGTATGCAGGTTGAATCAGTAAAATACTGAAAAATAGCAGGATCTAGCAGTATAAAAAGAAGACTTTCTGATTATATGGAAAAAGAAAATAATGATTCATTTGCTATTTTAGCATGAAAGATTTGGAAAGTTAACAAAAAAAAACATAATCTAGGTCAAAATATTGATAAAAATCAATTGAATTAATGGATTTATGTAATATATTGGATTTTGTATTGGTTTCTTATTATTATTGTTTGACTATTGTCTCATTAAAATAGTTCATTTGTAAATATGTAAAATGAATTGTTTGCATAGTATTAATATACTTAATTGTTTAATAATTAATCTGATTAATTATATCTTCATTAACAATGATCTCTTCGTTAACAAAGATCTTTTCATTAATAATGGCATTAATTATTTTACAATTGATCAATACAAATGTATAGATTTCTATTTAGCATCTCTAAACTAATAATCCCCCTCCCTTTTTGCCAATTCGACATTATTAATCATAATCTGGCAAATTCAGAAATGTTTTTGGTACTGCCATATTGCATGAGTCATTATAGGATTCGCTTATTTTGGCTTGAAGTGTGTTGAGCGAGTTATTGTGGTAACATTCCTTGACAAGAACGTAACATTGAGTGGCGCTTTAAACGTTCTTAACCTCACAAACAATACATTATTCAATATGACCTTAATGAACACTTACCATTTCTCGTGTTTAATTTTATGCTGAAAAACGATTGGCCAATAAATACATATATACAAAATTTAGTGCGGCTAATAATCCGGGCTGATGATCATCCGACTAATGATCAACAAAACCTGGCACAGATTTCTGATGTGCCTACGATCTACGACGTGACGTAGAATTTCAACTTAAGAGGGATCGGATCAGGTCGATAAATCACATGATCTGCAATGTAGAGACTCATGGGTAGTAGAGTCAAAAATTAATGCCTTGTAGAAAACAAAAAAGACATGTACAAAAAATTCGCAATATTTAATATAATGAGCTTTAAAACTTGAAACTTTACTCATAATAAGTATGTTCGATTTTATTTTGCGTTCACGAAATAACTATTATTCAAAATATATGTTTGATTTCAAAAATTATGTCACAAATCTTCTCGATGATTACGAGAAATTTATATCAAAGTAGTTGTATACTACGAGACTCTCTTTCAGCTAAGACAATTATTGTGAAAGAAAGTTGTTCCCCCTTTTATTTCTTTTCTGCTACTAGAAAGCAAGTTACTTGCCAGTCGACCACTATTGAGAAAGGAGCTTTTCGTTCTCGACTACGACTCAATGCTATTAGTTGTCGGAATTTCAATGTTTCATACCGTTCTTTTCGCGACAAATACAACACCCAGAGTTTTTTTAAGGCTAATATTTTTTTGAAAAGAAGACACTTATTTTCCAGTCGAACAAAGTCAATCCTGTTGATTTCGTCAACGGCAGCGGTCTTTCCTATAACATTATTCTCAATCATCCATTTATTGTCGTATGCTCGTTTGGAGTCTTTTTCTTTTTTTCAAAATAATATTCCCTTTGAAGAACATTTTGTTAGTTTAGAAAGTAATATTAGTTTAACACATTCATCTACTACAATAAACAACAATAATAAAGTTAACTTCATAAAAGTTTGTGTAAATAATGTCGCGTTTATTTTGTCCAATTACATTTTGGAACCATTCATGACGACATGCCGTTTTGCATACTTGGTATTGTTGTTTTTACCATTAATTGTGGGCGCACCAGTATTGTTGATTGGTAGACGCGTTCCAGAAAATGATAATGAGAAAACAGGGACGTTATTATGGTATGATCTTTTGGTGAGACAAATGGAGATGGCGGGTCCAACATTCATAAAGGTAATTGTGTGTCAAAGATCTTTACTCAAATGCAATAATATTATCATGTTTATTCATTGATTTATGTATATTATTTAATCAAAGTTGGGGCAATGGGCAGCTTCTCGTTCAGACATATTTCCCGAGGAAATGTGTAATCGATTATCGAAACTTCATTCTGCAGTTGATCCACACCCATTTTCCAAGACAAAGTTGATAATTGAGGAAAATTTCGGATTACCATTTGAAATGATATTTGAAGAGTTTGATCCAAAACCCATTGGAATTGGTTCACTCGCTCAGGTCTATTAATTTTTCGCATAATCTTAACGATAATATTTATCTAAGTTCTAATATATTATATTTAATAGGTATATAAAGCAAAGGTCCGACCTGAAATTATTCCACCATCAATAGCTGACGAAACTACGTCATCATCTTTAACCGAAAAAAAAACTAAACCGCATTCACCATTGGTAACCGACGTAGCAATAAAAGTACTTCACCCGAACGTGGATAAGTTGATTCGACGAGACCTTAGAATTCTAATGGTTTTCGCAAAAATCATCAACGAACTCCCAACTATGAAGTGGCTTTCATTACCGGAAGAAGTTGCGAGATTTGGTGAAATGATGCAAGATCACTTAGACCTACGCATTGAAGCAAATAATCTGAAAATTTTCCGGATGAATTTCAAGGATAGAAAGTCGATCAATTTTCCACGACCTTTTGTCGAGTATACTATGAAAGATATGTTGATTGAGGAATACGAGTCGGGTATACCGTTAAAGAGGTTTCTTGAATTTGGGGGTGGCGTGTTTGAGCGTACTATTGCTGATATTGGTATTGTTTATTTGAGTTTATTGATTGTGGATTATATGCTATTCGTGACACATAATATATTAACTATCCTCATATTTTGGATAATAATTTATAGGATTAAAAGCCTTTCTTGTACGAGCTTTGCTTAAATCTTTTATATCTAATTATGTTAATGATTGAATTAATTTTATACTAATCGTTATTATCCGTATGAATAGCACATGCTCATATTTGACAACTTTGTTCACGCCGATCTTCACCCTGGAAACATCTTAATAACTTTTGTCAAACCAAAGAAAATAATGAATTTCTGGTCCAATTTCATAAATAACTACAACGACAAATCTGCAGAACATTTAGACGATTCAAAAAGAGCGCTTCAACTCCTAAAATCACATTACAACAATAAAAAACAATGGGAAGAGGCATTAGATCGTCTTTTTCAAGAAGGATTCCAACCCGTTATAACATATCTGGATACGGGTCTTGTCACAAGTCTCAACGCAGAAAATCGCCGTAATTTTCTGGACTTATTTCGCGCCGTGGCAGAATTCGATGGATACCGTGCTGGAAGATTAATGATTGAACGATCGAAAGTGGGTCACTTGGCATTGGACGGCGAAATGTTCGCGCTTAAAATGCAAGATTTAGTGCTAAAAGTGAAATCAATGACACTAGCACTATCCAAAATACGAATTTCTGAAATCTTGGCCACAGTTCTGCAAATGGTACGAAAACATCACGTGAAACTCGAGGGTGATTTCGTGAATGTGATGCTTTCTGTGCTATTGTTGGAAGGAATTGGACGACAATTGGATCCGAACATAGATTTGTTGAAGAGTGCATTACCGATTTTACGACAGTTGGGAGCACAGGAAGCGAAGCGTGGTGTTGTGGATGGAAAAATAAGGGAATTACCGTTAGAGGATGGTGTATTTCTAAAATTCTGGATTTGGTTAGAGGCAAGAGAGTGGGTGGCGAATTTAAGTTGGGATGATTTGAAAGAAATGATGTTTTATAAGCATATTTGTTGGCCCGATATTTGATGGACAAACTATTATCATTGGTTTTTATTATATAGATTTAGTACTTCCGGATTTATTATAAAAGGACATTTTAAAATCACTAAAATTTAAATAAAAGGAGTTTTCGAAGCTTTATATAATAATCAAAATTAGCTAAAAAAAATTCACTGAATAATCTCTTCGATATTCTGTCTCGGTCTGATAAACATCATAATATCATCATCATCTGTATTCTCTTTTATTCCCGGTGCGAAAATCTTTAAATCTTGATCTACTATTGGTGGCGATATATTAGGATCTGCCTTAAGCACGAATCTCACTCTTGGCAAACGAACTTTACCGGCGACTAACGGGAAACAGTTAACTTTGAATAAACATGTGGATAATGGTGAGACTCGGATCAAGGTTTGTTTGTAGCCTGCAAACACGAAGGCTTCGTGTACTTCGACGTAGACGTGGATTTGAGCGGGTAATAATGAAAAGTTTGTGATGTCGTATGTAAGAGTGAAGAGTTGGCCAACCACAAGTGCTGGCGGGGTTACTTTTTATAGAAAGCAAATTTATGTTTGAATATGTACGTGTGTATGCATTGTATTTGTTAAGGTGATGTATAAGAAATACTTACGGATGGTTACCGATATAAAAGATTTGCTAGGCTCAATAGAAGGTGCTGGAAACATTGTTTTGGTAAAAATGGTATTGACATCTCCGGATTTTGTGGATCTTCTCCAAGTAATGACAAGAGATCCAGTATTCACTGCGACAGGTGAAGACACTAAATCAGAATTTGTGAGCTCCAAGAGATAATTCGCTTGGTATACACCGCCGGGTCGCCATACTAGATTTTGAATAAAGCGAAGCAAACAAAATAAGTTTGCAACTAATAAAATTTCGAGTTCTCTTTTTATCTTACCTTGTTTTTGTTGATGGGAATCATCCTCCAATTCTGTAGAAAAGCCTCGAATCTTGAGTTTATTATTTGATTCGAGTGTATCAGGCTATTGAATGTAAAAGTTATATAAATTAAATTCCGAATTAGATTCAATTATTTATTAAAAAAAAAAAACTTGCCAGAACCAAATCAACACCCGATACAATGATATCCCAAGGCCCAGAACTTGTGATTTTAGAAACCAAAAGGTGTCTTTCTAATCTCTCAAATGATTCTTGTTCATCTCTTTTATTAACATCATTATTACCACTTTTTTGCTTAATTCCTTTATACTGAGAAATTAGACTGAATGACACGTCAAAAGGGACAATAAACGGTATTCGTAGCTCCTCGTCTTTTTCAATCCAGCCTTGAGTAGGGGGTAATGTTGTGGGTATACCCGATGCAGAGGCGTACCATATCTGAGTGATATAATAGAAAAAAGTTAATTATTAATTATTATAAAAAACGAACCATTTGATAATTACCGATAAATGAAGCGTTCGAGTTATTGGAAGTTTCTCGCCAAATATATAAACAACTTTTATGGAAGATTGTCCAGCCGGAATTATTCCCACATCTATTCCGTTTAGACTTTGCTTACCCTCTTCAGTTATATCTGTGGTCAAATAAGCAAAAGATCCTGAAATCAACAATAGCGTGTGTTTAAAAGTCATTCTATATCCGAAACCATTAATTAACGCATATAAAACCAGAAAATATAAACACCTTCAAAATCTATTGAAACAAGTTCAACGTTGAGCACGACTTTAACATCCTCCGCCTCCAAATTGAGTATTGTCAACTCTATAGGAAAATGTTCATTCAAGAGAGCAGGGGAATGATGTTTCACTTGAATGTCCACTTTTGCGCGTTTATGTGTTATTCTAAATATAGCATTTTAACAAAATTTAATTAATAAAGATTGTATAATTATAAAATTGATGATACGAAAATCAAATGGGACAACTCAAAAATACTTTATAGATGATGGTTCGCCGGATCCTTCTAATGGAACAAATTTTGGCTTGGTGACAGTTATTTTATCTGGATAAACTCAAGTAGATTATTTATAACGAATAAAATGCTCTTTTTCGTATTAAGATTAAATAATTAGTGGCGGTTACCATTCAATTCCGTATTATTTTCTTGTTTAAATTCTAGCCATTTTCCTTTGATTTTGGAATCATTAAATTCAGATTTAGAATTGAAATTCAATTCTATTTCCCAATTTGGCGTTAACAATCCCAATGATATAGTAAGCAACTAAAAAATAATTTAGGACAATATGATGAATATTTTTACATATAAAAATATAATTTTTCACAAATAATGAAAACAAATTGTTAGAGTAACACTTTAATCACCGTCAGTTCTCCACTCTCTGTTGGAACCAGCAACCCCTCATACACAAATGTAGACCCACTCGTGATATTTAAATTAACTTTCTTCGTCCAAACAAATCCGAATCCCTCAACCTCAGTCTGTTGACAATCCTCTCGACAATCAACCCACTTTATTTTCTCTTTATGATTAAAACTATTATTCGTAGTTAATTCACCTTTATCAATCAAATGATAATTGAAATGTGCATTATTAAACGACAGGTGTAAGTAATCAAATCGTATCGGTTGTACTGGTGAATTGGATGAGGTGTTGATGACTATTTGAAAAGGTGTTGGAGCACCGACAAATGTTGAGGTTTGTCTGAATTGGAAATTGCAGGTTACTTTTTATTTTAATAATGAATTTTTGTTAAGATAAAAAAAATGAAGATTAAAAACAATAACTATGTTAAAAAATAACCGGCAATTATGAAAGGATACAAAAAGAATTGATTGAATTCATGTCTATAATAATCGATTTATTAGAGACCGCGTTAGGAATTTCACTCTAAGCGAAAATATAAAAGACCATTTTGATTAATAAATATATATATATGAAAGTATGTTCAATGTTAGAATTCAACCTTATATAATATATTTATCAGTTGATTTTGCATTTCAACCATTTTTTCGTGATTCTGACTTATTCCTAAAAGACCATGCATGATTAACATATATATTGAACAATATCACATAAACACATAGTCAGAAATAAATAAAGCCTTACGATCAGATAACAACTCAATCAAATATTTAATTACATTTTCCCAATCACCAAGTTCTCTCGCGCACTTTAGTGACAATCGAAGTATCGACTCGAGGATCGAATGCCAATTTTCTTTTCGATATGTTTTTGCAATCCTTTCAAAAAATCTGCAAATTGAATCATAATAGTTTAGTCATAATTGACAAAAAAAAAGATTTGCTAGTAACTTTACTGACTTGAGAGCCATTTCGTATTTCCCAGATTCAAAATATGTACTTGCGATTTCCGAGGCAAGATACAAAGTCATTCGGCCACTCTTGTATCTTTTAAATTGCTCATAACTTTTCGTCAACAGTTCAATTGTTATTACCGCATGATCTATATTTCCTTCTGCCTCCAACATTTGTGCAGGTGGCAGTTTTGATGTATCCTTTGATTCTCGGATAAGCTAAAAATATATAAATGCAATCAAATATATAATCATGAAAAATTTTCTTTTATATTTGATAGTAAAGACAAACTTTATTAATGGATTGAAATCTCTTTTTCCGTTCCGAAGTACAAGCTGCTGCAAACCGATAATAAAATCCCGCATGTTGCAGTACCATTTTCAGATTAATACTTCCTCCTCCGTATCCATATCGATAATCGGCGGGATTGCTATTGTTTGAATATACAATGGGATAATTGATCTTGAACCCAGATCTTGTAGCAATGTCCAATAGGTCACCGAATATTTTATACTGCTTAGCAAGCCATGCCCAGTACTCGAAAGTATTTTCGCCGATACCCCATGTATTTGATAATCTTTGAAAGGTTGAAATGTGTCTGTTTAATTGATTCGTGGCGGCAGAAGGTACATCCAAATAAAGATTTAATTTGCAAATCTGTAAAAATTAAAGATTCGTAACGTATTGTTTATGTATTTAGTTTCATTTCCAACAATGAAATAACATAAATCAATATAATAAATATTTTTACTTTTAAATTTATGCAGTCAACTAAGACCTTTGCTTCAGTCCATCTTTTGGTGCGTATAGGAAATCCGGGTGCTCCAGGAGTAATAGAAGAAGTAGGAGCAAACATATCCAAAAGCAAATTATATGCAGATTCATAATACCTTTTTTTAAAATAAGGAAAAATAATTAAACTCTATGAAATGTAAGTTACATTTTATCTATTTCTCTCACTTTATGGCAGTTTCTATTTCTTGTCGAAATTCAGCAAAAGTCGCCATTTTATAATCATATCTAACCATCCATCCTTGGATTCCCAATGGTTGTGGTGTCATGTTTGGCGGTTGTTCAGATGGCAGTTGTACATAGGAAGCTGATACCGGTGACGGTAATTTTGAACGTTGTGGTGCCATGTTTGGCAGTTGGTCAGATGGCAATTGTACATAGGGCGCTGATACCGGTGACGGTAATTTTGAACGTTTCTTTTTTATGCGTTTACCGATCTCCCGATAATATCCAAGAGCAACTTCATATAAAGATTTTTGGAGGCTAATGATTTAAACAGGAATTTATAAAAATAATCAATAAAATTCGAAACAGTATTATTAAATTAATAAATGAAAATTACTTTATAGCAAAATTCTGTAATTCGTTTTGAGTAGTAGACGACAATACGAAAAAAGAATTTTTCTGTTCTAGCCCACTGGATTTTCGTATAAAATTTATTCTCTCTTCTATAGCGGGATCGTCTATAATTTTTTTTAACATAAATTTCCCATAATACAAAATGAAATATCAAAATGAAGAATTACAGTTATTATAATACCTATGTGTTGTTGTTTTAGAATGACTACAGCTGCGAATTTAATACCACGGTCCTGTGTCGTCTTTCTAAATATTGTATTATGTGCAGAGCAACAATTTAGAAAAACCTCTAATTAATATAAAAATTGGGATTAATCTATTTGTTTCTAACCTTCTTTCGCTAATTTCAGCAGCTAATTGTCTATCACGCTCCTTTTCAATATTATCAGAAGTATCCAAAGTTTCATGCACTGAAATTGATACACCAACACCATTACCATCGCCTTTTTCATCCAATTTTTCACTAGAGATTCCACCCATTGCTGTTGTAGATGACGATGATCGGTCCCACAAATCGTAAAATCCTACCGCAACAGCAGGAATAGTTTCACGATGTTTTCGAACCCAGATGGGTGATATAAGGCCGTCAGGATGTAGAGGAGACCCGGGTGTCAAAGGCGAGAGAGGTGAATGTGGAACTGGCATAGTGAGATGTGGTGCAGCAGTTGATGAAGAACGCGAGCTGAATTTTCGAGAGGGAAACTCATGGTTCTGTCATCGATAATTATTCAAATCAAAAAGATTTAATAAATTAATCATTCAATCAATAGATAAAATCACAAATTCGAGATCCACATACAAAATCCACATAAAAATTGATCAATCACGTCTCGAGAATAGTGCTCAATACTACTACCATAGTTTAGCTATAAACTTTTTTTTCTATATTTCCTTCTTGATGGCGCACCTTCTCAACTGCCACAACGTGGAAAGTTGCATTCGAGCCTTTACCAGCTTCCCATATACCACCACCAGCACCTTGGTTCTTTGCAGTGAGAAGCGCCAACAGACTTTTCGAAATTTGTTGACGAGTGGTTATCGATGACGAAGAGCCCGTACTCATTGAGTTACGTCTTGACACTGGAGAGGTGGGTGAGGTAGGCTCAGAGTCTTTCCCGGTGCCAAGGCCCATGACTGCCATCAGGGGTATTTTGTGGAGGATGAACTCGCGTGGAAGTGATTCCATTGGGATTTATTAAACGGATTCAAGTTTGAAGATTTATTCGTTTTAATATAGATGTGTTACAAAGATCATTCAGATTAAGCAGATTATCAGAATTCATATCAAAATTGCTAAAATTTTAAATTTCTTAATAAAATAAGAAATTTTCAAATTTATATAACTTAAATCTGGTTTTATTAGTTTGTTTAATAATATTAATAGTGAGAAATAGAAATTACATACCTACACTTTAGAACTTATTGATGAGACTAAGTAATTAAAAATTAAAAATATTAATTTTACCTTTCAAAATATTTGTAAAGATCTTTCTATTACTAAATTCAAGGCTAAGAATATTACAAAATTCAGGAAAATTAGATCACTTGAGTCTATGATTAAGATATTAGAAGATAAGTTAGTATTAGCTCAGAAAGATACATTTTTAACTTAGAAGAACTCATCAAAAAAAGAATCTGAGAATCTATTTCTCAAATTTAAAATAGCTAAATTAGTATTATTACCATTTTTGGTACCTCTTGAAAAGGTTATTTTGTGATAGATTAATAACTTTATATATAATATTTGGTCAAGATAAGATATAATAAAGATATTATGAATTATGAGTAAGAGAGACTAATATAATCATAAATATAATGTAATAGATATTAGACTATGATTATAATGAGATTAAAGATAGATAATAAGAATATGTTCATGATGTGATCAACTAGAATGAGATCTGGGATCATAATATAAGAAATATATGATAATAAAGAATGAGATCTGGGATCATAATATAAGAAATATATGATAATAAATAAGGCATTATTAATAAAGATCATTAAATTTATAACATTATTATGTTTAAATTATTATTTTATCTTATTATTATTTAATTCAT